TTTGATAACTTCTCTACTAATAATAGGTAGATGTTGAAATAAGGCCAATGCTTTATGGAAAAAAGTAAAGCCTCACTACAAAACTCATGGAAAATTATAGTTCATGTGACAGAAAACCTTCCAATCGATCATCTCAATCTTCATCATTGTATTTGTGAGAAAAAAAAAAAAAAGCTTTCAAGCTTTAAAACTAGTGTATCTTGTAAGATATTGTCTAGACCGTCAATTTTATACTATTTATGGATAGACAAGATCTATGCCAATTTTTGAGCCACAAGTGTCCATTTTCAACTTTTCATGGAAACACAAGATCTATGCCAATTTTTTAGCCACAAGTTTCATAATCCGTGGAGTAAATAGATCTGAGAGCCATCTTAGGAATTTCCATACCCAAAGACATGATTTCATGGTGGGGCTTTACTTAATTGTTTGGGATTCATTTACTGAGAAATAATGCTCTCTCCAATAATCAATCATGTGCCATCACATAGTATAAGCTAACCCATCGAAAACAAATGCACGCAAGGTCTATTTCGTCTGCATGATCAAGACCGTGGTTTTTAAGATTAAATCTCCACCATACATAATTTGTAGAAGAGAATTACTAAATATGCACCATGGAAAAGTGTTCTACCTCATAAGCATGGTTTGAACTCCAATATCTAATTTAAATTTGGGAAAGGTTTCTATACTTCCCCTGCTGCATAGAAGATCTATGCTTCCCCTACCATCCACTACCATCCAGCCTTGATCAATATAGTCACTCACCGTTTGATTTTAGAACTGACATCTTTAAGTATTTTATTTTTAGTTTTTTTTCTACAAATTGTATGTATATGAAATTTGGTATGTGCCATCTTCTCATTGGGCTGCACCTATAAAAATATTAAAAATAATTTTTCGGTAAAATATAATAACCAAAATGCCCCTTGGAACTTTCAGGGGTATTTTGGTCATTTTATTTTATTGGAATTTTTTTTTATATAATTTTTGCTAGTGCTAGTTTAATAGAGGATTGGATGTCCAAAATTTTGGTGTCAAAATAGTTTATAGAAAAAAAAATTAAATATAAAATAGTGTAGAGACGTGATATTATGATTGGGGCAAATTTAGTCCTCTATTTTATAAAAAAAAATTAAAAATAAAATAGTGTAGAGACGTGACATTGTGATTGGGGCAATTTTAGCCCTCTATGCAGAATGGATGGTTCCATAAGAGGAAGTATATAAGTTTTATGTTGTAGGAGAAGTATAGAAAGCTTGTCTTTTAAACTTTAGAGCTAAATTTTGTCAATGCTAACTCTTTAAAACCTTTCGATCCAGATTGTTGATTCGGATAGGAATTGGTCGGGATCAAGCTAGTTCTAGGATGATATGATTCCATATATTCCACCTTAAACCCCTCCAATATACTTCTTTTCTTTTTTTGAAGTTTATCAGATGTTTTTTTAGAGCCAATTTAAATCCCTACCTTATAAACATCTATTTTAAGTTTTATTATTTTATTTATTGTAAATATTTTTTGAATCACTGATTTGATCGATCTATACTTGATCCAAATCACCGATCCAACAATCCGACAGGAATATGTACGTGAACGATCTACCCCACGTATTCGGTTTTTAAGACATTGGAGACACGTTTGGTTGAAAAAGGGTCTAGTGCTACCCATTATTTTTCTCCACTTTGTTTATTTTCTCCAATAATCTTGAGCCAGTTTCAAGGCTTGATGGCTGTGTTTTTGTTTTCCATTCAATAATAAGTGGGAAGAATGGAAAATAAATGTAATATCGAACTTAGAAGATCTCAGAAAGTTTAAAAATTGGGAAATCAATAAACGATAACACAATTAATAGATTCTGACCAAAACATTTCTCAATTAACAAAGTTGGGCGTTGTGCAAGTGCTCACCCAATTTTTAGAGGCCCCCCAAATGTTTAGCTTTTTTCGTGAAAGCGTTTAAAAATAGGGTGCGTGTTTATGGACCTGCGGGTCCACGGTACTTAGTAGAGTTGGGCTTTAAAACCCTGCAGCAAAATTGAATTTTGGCGTCCAAACCCTTCTTATTTTATTTATTTTTGGGTGATTCAGTGAGGAAGATAGGGCCTACATGTTTTTTTTTTCTAAAAAATTAGGGAGCTAGATTTTTTCAAAGTTGTCACCAGGTGATGTCAGTAAGATTGAAAACCATAAGTGGTAACTAAATATAGGGGTTGCTACCACCAAAACCCTCACGGTGTTCAAATCTTTGCACCTAAGATTCAAAATGCGAAAACATTGGTGTTTTGGAGGACTATATTGTTCTTTTACTTCCTCAGTAAAAAAGGTACCCTGCGGTGAAAATGCAATTGCCCCTTGGGAAAACAAAACTACTCAACTTTTTGAAAAAATAATAATGCACTAAAATTGAATGGAAACGGTCCAATTTGTGGAGAGTGAGATCTAAACCAATTGAATTACTCAAAACTTAATATTATTTTTTAAATAGTTATCCACTCTTAGGTGAATTCTAAAATTTGAGATTTTTAAAAACAAAATCCTTCCAAGTTCGTCTTTTGATCGAGGGAGTAAGGATATAATATACTCCCGCTGAGCATAGTATACATATTATTTTGGAGTTCAAAACTCCAAGGTGCAATATCACTTGAGATAAATACAAAGGAGATAATGTCCCTTCCTTTTTTCCTCTCCATGTTGATTATTGCATATAAATATGGTAAAATATCAAGGGGGTCAAATTCTCCTCTAACAATAGATGGTTGCTGTTTAAGATTCTTTGTACTTAAACAACTAAATTATCCCTATTAGGAGTGGAGCCTCGCACATCTATAACTACAAGTATTTTTATAAGGGTGCGGTTTGTATAGAGCTGAGGCTCTAAACAGTCAAAAGTAAAACGCAACTTTAAATAGTGTCGAGAAATGTGGTTTTAATATTGAAAATCTCTATGATAGCTTTAAAATATATTTTCATATTTAATTATAAAACATTAAAGTTTAAAAAATAGTGCAGATCAAATAGATCTATGAAAACTTAAAAATCTTGAAAATTGAGGGTTCAAAAATACGTTACAAGATGCAATATTTCCAAAACTTGAAATTAACATTTTTCTCATGTCCATGCATTTTGATGTCGAGATGATCAATTTGATCATATTTGTGCATCAAAACAACATCTTCTAATAAAATTTTTGAGATGAGCTCTAATTTGATTGCTTAGAGCCTTGGCTCTATATAAACTTTTTTCTTTTAATAATTTATCCCCACTTAAGTGACTCTTGGTGAATGGCATGCATACTCTGGTTGTTAGAAACATAGAACATAATTTACACTTAAAAAAATGGATTCTAAATTATTAAGTCTGAACGAGCATGGGTATTATTGTTACTTGGCACTTGCTTGTTGCTATGCTGGACAACCGCATGCATTATTATCATTTAGCGAAGGCTATTAAGTGGAATCAAACAACCAAATTAACCTAGCTTGTTCAAGGTTCACAACTACTAACTTTTAATATTATTTTAGGGAACAAGTTCATATAAGGTTGCAATGTTATATTATAAAAGTACGGTGCGCCTCAAACATATAGTAAAAAATAGTGTTATGAAGTTGGAAAACCTTCCAATTGATCATCTCAATATCGAGATGTACAAATATAAAGAAAAAAAAGTAGTTTCAAGTCCTAAAAATGATGCATCTCGCAACATATTATATGGATTGTCTATTTCCAATATTTTTATCTGCTTGATCTGTAGTGTTTTATAAATTTAAATTTCAAACATGGATTATCAACCTATTCTAAATTTTCAATGCTGGGTCTATATTTTCCAGTAAAATTTAGGAGTGTGCCTTGTTTGTATAGATAAGGGTGCGGTTTAGGAATGGGGCTGAGGTCGTGGTGGTAGCATCCCCACAACCAGTTACCACATCGTGGTATCTATTCCTACCGTTGACACCCCCAATTAATACCTTCAAAATGTAACTCCCTATTATATTGGAAAAACGGGTAGGGGTCTGTGTTTCCCAATTAATTACGTAAAAAAAAAAAATGTGCGGTTTGTAACACACCTTCAAATATGGTCGAGAAATGTGGTCTTACTACTGAAAATCTTTGTGATAGCATTAAATATATTTTCATCTTTAATTATAAAATTTAAAGCTTAAACAATAGTGTAGATCGAGTAGAAAACTAGAAAATCTTGAAAATTGACAGTCCAAAAATGCGTTACAAGATACACTACTTCCAAAACTTGAAATCATTTTTTTTTTTTCTCATTTCAGTGCATTTTGATGTTGAAATGATCAATTTGAGGATATTCGTGCATCAAAACCAGTGTTTGAAAAATTGGTTGGTTCATAAAATCGTTTTAACGTTAAAACAGTATATCGAACGGTGTTACGTAACAGTTTCGTTATTTGATACAGAGCCCGTTATTTTTTACAGAACCCACAGGTTTTCTTTGGGTTCAAGATTGATTTGAATTTTCAAACTTTATCAACCTTTTAACGATTTTAAAGAGAATAATTTGAATGAAATTATTGATGTTACTCTATAAAATAGTCGATTTGAGATAAAAAAACTACCAAATTTCAAGGTTTTTTGGGCGTTATTTATTTGTTCTTCATTAGTTTGTTGAAAATATGCCAATATATAGTTCTTGGCGTTGTTGATTTTTTTTTAATCCAAAGAGAGGGATTTTGCAGACGGAAGAGATGGTCAGACTAATACATTTCCGGTTTCAACAAAATCCATAGATTTCGGCTCAAAATTGCAATTTCTTGGCCGTTATTTGGGTGTTCTTCAAATTTCCATAAAAAATCTATCAATCTAAGGATTTTGGCCTAGTTTTTAATTTGTTTTCAATAAAACTACGGGGCTTTTAATGATCACAAAAATATCCAGATTTCTAGACTCCTGATTTCATTGAAATCGAGAGATTTCGAGTTCGATTTTGAGATTGAAGCTTTATTTGAGTAGGAAGAAAACAATAAAAACTCCAAACCGATTTTTTTTAAAAAAAATTCCTAATTTTTCAGTATTTTTTTAGGATTTTTCAGATAATATTTGACTGAAATTATTGATTGCATTTAATAAAAGAATGGATTTGAGAACAAAAATAGACATTTGGAGCTCAATTTTAGGGTTTTTTGGGATATCAATATTTCTAATATATATATATATATATTTGCTTAATAAAATTATGTTTTATGATAAATATGTGAAATGTTATTTGACAAAATTATATTTGATGATTATGACAAAAAAATCGTTTCTTCTATTTTTAATGTTATATTTTTTTAACAAAAAATAAGTAAGGGCATGATAATGTTGCTCGGTCTTTTGCTTTGATGTTTTTTTGCTCGATATTTTTAATATTATATTAGTAGGTTTTCAGTCTTAGAAATAGTGGATCGTGTAATGTATTTTAGAAATATTGTATTTTGTAATGCATTTTCTAGATGGTCAATTTTCAAGACTTTTTAGTGCGTATAGATATGCCCGATCTATACTAATTATGAAGCTCTAAAATTTATAATTATTTAATTAGAGATGAAAATGGATTTTGAGAATGTCATCAAGATTTTCAGTACCGAAACAACACCATTTGAATTTTGATACTATTTGAAGGTGCATTTTACTTTGATTGTTTAAGCCCTCAATTATGTACCTTAAACCATCAAAACAAGGTGCACCACCAAATTTTATAATAAGCTTAAAATCTATTTTCATGCCTAATTATAAAATTTAGCTTAAAAAATGGTTCAAATCAAGTAGATTTATAATCACATACTAATAGACATTCTAATTACTACTAGCCATTGTTAGTTGGAATTTATAATAGAATTCAAATTATGAATTGTCTTGTATATCTCCATAGTATTCAAATATTAATTTATATAAAACTTGTTTCAATTTTTTTTTTGTAAGATAAATGTATGCAATATGATAGTATACACTTAATCTAAGTTTTTTTTTTTCTAAAGCAAAAATTAATGTTTTTGGGGGGTTCTTGTCCCAATTTGTTTTAAAAAAATCTACCTCGCTGGTTAGTCCGCTTAACCACCCTGATTAGTCTGGTTCCAGTTCAAACCACTCCCAGCCCCATATCCAGTTAACCATTCTGGTCCGATTTTACAAAAACTGATCAAACGATATTTTCTAGTGAAATTTTTGAGGTAGACTCTAATTTGATTGTTTAGAGTCTCGTCTCTCGATAAACTTCTTCCAAAGATAAAGAGGGCAACTTATACAAATTTTGAAAAATACTTGAGTCACATGACACTTCAAAAATTAATTATCAAATGACAGTTTAAAAATAATTATTTTAATATAGAAAACTAATGCAGGGAGACCATTTATAGTTACTGGCTTCTAAGTGCAATCCTTTACCTTCATCACGTGGTTTCTACTCTTATTACTAACACTACCCTGCATCCTTTCAAGAAACGGGTGAGGGAGATGTTTTTCCCACTTAATTGCCCAAAAAAAATGAACGAAATATCGAACAAACCTTGCAATGGTGGAGTTACGGAGGTGACGTCGTGGTAGCAGGGTACGTTACAGTGGGCTTTAAAGGGTGACGTAGAGCTTCTTGTGGAGCTCAGAAACCAAGGCACAAAGCCTCTCCTCCAGTTCCTTTTGGCATTTTAGAGAAAGAAAGAAAGAGAGGAGAGAGAATTACAAGTGAAGAAGAAATAGTGCAATTGAGTTTCAGGAATTCCTGAGGGAGATTTTCATTGAACTATTGGAAAGCCTAGAGAGAGAGTCGTACCCATTAGTGAGAGATACAGAGAAGCTCACCCATTTACAGTAGAGAGAAAGTGTGAGAAACTCACCATTTACATTAACTGTTGGAGGGATTTCTCTCTGTAGAAGTCGTGGTACTCTGGTAGGAGAAAAGCTCACCGACTGGCAACCCCCCATTTTCAAATGGAGCCAGCTGTAACTCTCTCTCTCTC